TTTAATAATATTTTAGTATTCAGTCTTACCTGAATAGGCAGAGGATAGCGCACCCTGTAGTGAGGGCAATTAAAGACAGACTGTGACCCAGAGTGTACAACGTCTGCACGACCACGTAGAAGACCAGCTGCAGACAAAGGGGAAAAAGAGCTTTTGTTAAATTATTAATGCATGTACATCATCCTTAACATATCACTAAACTGGGCCTCAAATTGAGGTGAAGATTGTGAAGCATATTACATTGCCAAAAGTATTTGCTCGTCTGCCTTCATGTGCATGAACTCGAGTGACATTCCACTCTTAATCTGCAAGGTTTAATATATCAGCCCACCCTTTGCTGCTATAACAGTTTCAACTCTTCTGGGAAGCTTTTCCACAGGGGTTAGGAGTGTGTTTACTGGATGGCTCGCAGTCTCGGGGTTGAGGTCAAGCCAGTCATGCTCATCCACAGCTTTATGGACCTTGTTTTTTTGCACTGGGGCACAGTCATGTTGGAACAGAAATGAGCCATCTCCAATCTGTTCCCACAAAGTTGGGAGCATGAATTCCCAAAAAACAAGCCCCCATCCACCAAACTTTACACTTGGAACAAGTGCGGTCAGACAAGTTTTGCATCCACCAAACCCAGACTCATCTTTGGACTGTCAAATGGAGAAGCACGATTGTCACTCCATTCTCCACTGCTCTAAAGTGCGTGGCAGCGTGCTTCACATTTTTGCATCCGATGCTTAGCATAATGCCAGATGATGTAAGGCTTGGAATCAGGTGCTCAGCCATGAAATCTTATTTCATGCAATTTTTTATAGAGCTTAAATATAACTATCCGTTGTGTTGCTGAATTATGAAAAATCAAAAATAACTGATGATTTCCAATGCACTTTTATGTAGTTTGAGGTCTTTTATGTAAGTAACATTTCCATGTTTTTTATTACAAGTACTAAAGCAACAGAAAAATAATCACATAATTCTCGAGGGTCAGATGGGAACGTTTTCCAGTTTTAGATGAAATGACTCTATTCAAAGGGAGATTTGTTTGGGCAGCGTGAGATAGAACCTAACACTCGGTGTCTCACACCAAAAATGTGAGAGTTGGCAATCCTGCATCAACAGCTGTCAAACTGCAGGCAAGTGTAATCACAATAAATCACTTTGATTTAACAGAGATTCTGGACAGAAACATACACAGTATGTGGCTGAATAAACAATGATAAAAGAGCTTTAAACAAATCAGTGTTTTGAAATTTGGCGTAGACACAAGTACTGACTAAGTCTGTTTAATTTGAAGATAAGATAAGATATGCTTTATTCCTGGGAAATTCCAAACTAGCTCAATAAGGAATGATTTACCATATCAGTGTTACCATTCCTGATATTTGCATGCATCGTACTTAAAGTGCACTGCTTCACATGTGTTGTACTTATTTGTGTTTGTTTATTTGTTTATTTGTTTATTTATAAGGAACCCCAATGTGTTATTTCTGTTCTGTTTTAGAGAAACCTTAGAAAAGATAAGAGTTAAGATAATATATCGTATTACAGAAACAATAATTCTATTAAATTTAATTCAAACTTAATCTAATGCTGACTGCTTTTATTATTATTTCAACTTTATTAAAAACTGTAGCTCTGATGATATCAAATTTGCTCTGAGGAAGATTTGTGTCTCTTTGTTAGTGACAAAAGGGGGTGTGGGGTGTGTAGAGACAGAGTGAGAGAGGCAGGACAACACAATGGGCAATTCAGCTGCACCATTCGTGACCCAAAACGGGTCACGAATAACAAGTGAACAGGAGGAAGCTGCGGTCACACAACAGTTGCCAAAATATATGAACACAATAGAGGACAGGTGTTTCAATTCACAGCTAAGTTGTTCTC